CTTTGGAAATATTGGAAAAAGAGCTTGTATTAAATTATTTAAAATACAAATAAAAACCAATGTATTATCTCAATTGATCTTGATATTTTAGACTGACCGGAGGCCGTATTTCTACAGGGCCGAGCTCTGCGCTCACGCTCCTGTTGCTTTGCCCGCCATTGACTAATAAGCCGGCATCGGAACATCGGTTCCTGACCAAGCCCCAGACCCTTGTTGATGGCACTCTTCCACCGCGGCCCCAAACGCTCGTTGCTCTCCCGAGCCACCAAAGCCACGTCCTCCTCCGTGAAAAGGTCCCCCCATGCATTATCATGCTCGTTCCCTAGGCAATGCTGACCAACGGCATCAATGACTATGCCTCAGGAAACTTCCTGAAGACCGCTATCACCTCTTGTCGCTATTCTCGCGGGGCATCTCGAAAGGAACTCTCATTCATAAAGCTAATTCGTGTATACCGAAGCGTGCATACACCGCTCCGCCGCCCCATGCTCAGGCTGGCCCATCGGCCGTCGGTATGCCTTCAAGTCATTCACGTGCAATTGAAACAACTTTTCGGTCGCTACTATTCTCACTACATAGTGTACCGGCGTTTCCAGAGCCACCACCATTGCTGGACCTACCCACACCTCGAACTTGTGGGGTACCTGAGCAGACGCAAATATCTGCACATCAAGGTACCGCAAGTTAGAGGCCCTCTCTTGGGCGTCCCGTGGCCATACCTTCCTATTGATATCCGTTGGACCAGGCACTAGAAAATTGTCGGTTGCCGGTTCGCCCATAACTTCTCGAAGTATCATCTCCACCAGCTCACGGTTGAGTTATTGGCGAACATCCGACCGTTGGTGGCCATCGTGAACGGCGCCAAGCCGGCAGAGACAAAACCCGGTGTACAATTCGGCCACTCGTGCTCGCTGCCCCTTGGTACGGCTCTCTTCATCCATTGGTTACACATCCAGCACATGATCTCAGGGCGACCATTTCTTCGTGCCGTCCTGCCGGAATCGCGTAAACCCGAATGTTCTTCGATGTACACCAGTCCTTGAACGCCTAATTCGTTATAGGGCTATCATCATTCACCACGATTGTATGTGGCCAACCCCACGCCGCCAGTTGCTGTCCCACAAAGCAACGAGGTTCCTCGAATGTGTGTTCAAATTTCTTCTTCGGCCGGGAACACAAGCCGTCCCATCCGATTGACACCGAAGAGCACGAGTTGATATTCCGGACGGACCGTTGTCCTTGTGAACTGAGAGATCGTGCTCTTGACGGCTGGCATATCAGATCATTAGGCAAGCCCCTGCGTTCTACTGCCGGATCACAATCCGTGCACATGTCTACCACCTCGGCCAGCACATCCTGGAATTCGCCACCCCAACTTGTCCATTAGCACACCTCCGAAAAGTCCAAAGCCTCCACCGACTTGGCAAGCAATTGGGCACCCTGCATGGCTGCCAACTATTCTTCAAAACTAGCCTCCGGGGGCCTATGTTTGACCGGCCGCGAGCCCGAGGTAACCACAACTGACCTTCACGCTCGTACGCGTCGTCCAAGAACTCGGCCACCTGAGTATCGTCTATGTGCATAGGCTGCACGTCTCCCACTCGTCGTGCTCACCCCTGCCCTAATCCTCCGACTGTTCTCCGTCGGAAACACCCCTAATCCTATCACTCGGCTTCACCGCCGTAAGAACTCGGGCCCCCGTTGTTATGGAGAGACTCGCCCCCAGTAGTGGGCTCACTCCCAGTGACCAAACCTTTGACCAAACCTTTGGCGCCCAACGCCTGCAAGCATTCATTACAGAGTGCATCCTGCTCCTGTGGGCTAGACCCTGTCCAGTAAAACACAGCTGTTGACCGTCGCCTTCTACCGCCGCCGGCACCCTGACAACATCGTTGATTGTAGGCGCACCCTATACCTGACACAGCAGGCTCCGAGCCTCTCAGGCACTCTACGCTTGCCACTTGTCGACTTGAGAGACACAAGACAACGCCGTCCTCCACCAAACCTGGACCGTCATTTGGCGTCAATGTCGACGAATGGACCGGCATCTCGGCACCAAACACCTCGTCCGGCTGCTCCGAGGCCGTTTTCACCTCACGCCCTGCCATGCGCGCGCCAAACTCCTCACGCATGCGTCGATAACGCTCTTCCTGTTCATCGTTTCGGTTACCGCCGCAACACCTCACCGTTCTCACTATCGCTCGGTAAAGAGACTGCCACCAGAGCAGCCACCGTCGCTGCCATGCACGGCAAACACTGCCCCAACGGAGTCTTCACCAGGAACGGAGCCTCTTTGATCTCAAGGCGTTACCAAAAGGTCGACGTCAGCGTCGTCAACGGGTCGGGGCACCAGCTCTGCAATAGACCCACTAACAGATGACTCCAAGAGGGAGTCCCGAGCGGGTCGCCACGCTTACTCAGGTACATATCGTGGTGAGTCGGAATTAAGATGAGCTCTTCGACCAGCAGCGAGCAATACCTTAAACACCATTACGCACCTATCCATACGGACACCACCATCACTACATACTCGCGGGGACCTGTCTGGAACTGGTCGACGAACGAGTTGACAAAACAGAAGACCTCATGCAACGGCACTGTATACGCGTCGCCACCCCACGTACCTCCCTTTTCTCATCGGAAGCGTGCAAAGGAAACTGCTTGTTCCACCGGTTGGCAAATAGATTTAATTCCTCCCCAGGCCATCGCTTCAGCGCCATGTCCACCCAACGCTTGTTCAGCCATTGGGCCTTGCGCGCTTTGGAGACCAGAACAATGCTCGCAAACGAACGGAAGCCTGAATTATAATCCTCTATAGGCCACCTGAAAGTATCCCTACGCTCCACCGGGTCGACAACCCCACAGTGGAGCCTGGCGGGACCATCCCCCAGCACGCTGAAAGGCATATGTTAGAGCTAAAAGTCGAAACCCGATACTTGTACCCATTCCCTGATTTTACTGTTTTAGTATTGATTGTTATCATCTACTTCTTTTGTCTTGTTCTAATTTGCACTGATTGACATTTCGAAACATTTCTGGAGTGGAAAGTATTGTATCTTGTACATGAAGTTGTTGTAGCTCATTGTGTGTGTACTACCTGAATCTTCTTCATCTCGTGTATCTTTGGTACGTGAAATTCACTTCTGCTAGGTTCACTCTGATATATCTCTATGTCATTCAATCGATAAGAACGATCGTATATTTCGTTTTATTTTCTCTTTGATTGTTGGAATACCTTGATCGATGATTGATAGTTCACTTCTGCTAAGTTCACTCTGATATATCTCTATGTCATCATATCGACAAGAACGATGGCATATTTCGTTTTATTTTCTCTTTGATTGTTGGAATACCTTGATCGATGATTGATCTAGCTTAATGGCACAGTCAGGAACCCAATCACCACATGCAAACAATCACCACTTTTCGTACCGATCACTACACACACACGGTCGCTTGGAGTTACAACAGTCTTAACACTCGTAATTCATTAATGCCGGTGTTTACATCAATGATGAGGTTATCTATAAACACCAAATAAGCACCTATACTGTTGTGTAAATTTACAATGTATGCCTTCCTCTCATCCTCTACTTGTTGCCAGGGTGAAGTCCTCTGTACCGGTTTTTTTAAGTCATGCGACTGTGATAGAGATATACGTAAATAGGTCGATATCAAAGAAATGAGATTAGCTTCAGCCCCTGATTGTGAACTACAAGGTAGTGGGAATTGAACAGGCAAACTTGTTTATATGGTTCCACTCCTATCACTCATACCGTCAGTCTAATTTTATATTAGATGTCAACAACGATTGGGTACTTTCACGCTTCAAATCTAGAAGTTTTCGGTCACATAAAATAGAAATTATATCGAAGTTAGGAGAATCAAATCTATAAAAAACACTAAACACCAAGCTGGTACAGTGACTCGCTGCACCTTGAACATTTTTACTTGGAACCCAGCTCTCCACCCTAGTTTGGGCTTTAATGAGGCAAATAAAGTTGGCTGGTCCAGAGAACTCTTAATTGTCCAATTTCACAGTAGGTTATCTTGCTCCGTGACTGTATGATATACCAGTACTCCTTTAAGTCTGGTATCTGAAAATGTGCTACTTCAATTATCACTATATTTCCTTCTATGTTTTGTACGTCTTTCAGATTTTCAGATTTTACGTAACCTGTGATGTCAGGAACCCACAGGTTACATAGCTTCTTTCAGCTTGAAATTTGAATGTTTGCTGTATGTATGTGTTTTTAACGAAAAAGAGAAGCCGTGTTCGACCTTAAAATATCGTCTCAATACATACTATACGTACTCAGACGAAGTATACTAGCCTTGAAGGATACTAGGTTATTTTGTCCACGACATATGCTTAGGATGAATGATATTTGTAAATATACCTTAACTATATAAAGTCGCATACGTGTGGGTAAAATCGTTTCTGTACCAGCTTTGTTTTTGCAAAAACTTATTTTCCAACCCCACCAAAAGCCGATGATGTATTGCATTAGGACTCATCTCCAACTCTGTTGTATAGTATTTTACATTACCAAGTTTGTACTTCACGAAGTTCGTACTTCACGAGAATCGTTTTGAACTCGTGAGATATAAGAGGTGTAGTAGCTTACGTATGCGACGAAGGATGATTTCTGTCGTCGGGATACGATGTGAGCCGATATGTAAGGCAGTCGAGCAATCAGTGTTTTAACCTCATACGGTCCGCCCTTCTTGTCGGCCACTGAAATTATGGTCGGTGTATTATAATTAGCCGTATGCACAGTTGTGTCAGAAATGTGAGCCATAGTGTTGACCATATCCCTGACCTCAGACTCGACTGTTTTCTTCGTCTCTTTTTGAGAACAATATCCATCATCTCTCACAAGCAAAGAAAAAATATGTCTCTAGTTCTACGCATGTCCTCTAACCATGGTACCACATGACCTTCCTGAGAACTTTTGTTGAAAGGTACCTGTAATTCACTATAACGGCCCCTGAAATATGGGCAAGCGTCGTATTAGTGACAGAATCCGGTGTCTCGTTCATGTGTGTTTGTCTCCAATTAATCGAGTATGGCCACACGTCAGCATCACTAAGTAACGCTCCTCGCATGAACTCCTTCACTTTTCTGAGTCTCAACTCGGTAGCACCTTGTCTCTTAGATTTATATGTTACACTAATTTTGGGACGCGTGCCTGCTGCAATAGTGTCGTCATGATATCTGTAAACTCGCGAACGTTGCCAGTATACATATTAACTGCCAGCCAAAATCTGCAAATCACTTACAGATGATCTCGGCTACGATTTGAGTTAATTTGTCTTTTAGAGGATATAACTCGTTACATCTTGATGCAACATCAAACACGTGACAAGCACTCTTATATTTCGTGTGATCGGACATGGGCAACTCAGCCAGATTAATGTCATCAGAAACGCTTCTTATATGAGCATATCCGTAACGCTTGATTCCGTTAACTTTGCAGTCATTGCATTCGTGATACACGTGAAATATACACAGCTCAAATTCGAGTGTACAATTCCGTACCTTTTGCAATATTCCTCAGTCCTCGCTTGATCTGTATGTTTACGAACATGGTTCTATCTTAACCATTTCAGAATAGCTGCATCGGTTGACTTTGTATCACCGAAATCAGGAGGTGAGGATTCCACTTAATCAGCATTTGGACGTGAAGGCTCAAACCCTAAGGTGTGTATATAATTGTGTGCACCTGAAAAGTCGTTCATCGACTGCTTAATAGCGCCTGAAAGTTTCCTCTTATATAATGTCTGTGCCAGTGATACGCTCCTCTGTGGTTCTCCATACTGCAGGTGCTTGTGTTGTTTTCGCCTCTCCTTGAGACCGTGTTGTCTTCGCCTCTCCTGGAGACCGTGTTGTCAAAAGTATAATCTTAGATACTCCACGTTCCTTTTAATGACTTCAAAAGATTGTAGTATATGGTGAGTAGTTGGGAAGGTACGACCAAATAAGGCAACAAACCTCTTCTCAAGTACGTTTCTCTCTGCTAGTAAAAGTACTAGTCTGGAAAAAGCGCACTGAGTCTGTTTGTGATATGTATTTTGTAATTAACGAGACTCAGATTTTTACTTCAGTTTGTCTCTCACGAGGGACACCCGTCAGTAGGTACCGGTTCCCCGCCAGATTCATGATTACTCTAATATCAGGAATATAGTAATTTGGGTTCAGAATCAATTCTTGGGTATTTGAAATCCTGTAAAATTCAGATCTAGAATTTGGCTTTTTAGCTTTTTAGTACCATGATGCTACAAGGTATCCACTTGGTTGTTCCAAGTGAACCTATCCAACATATTATAGTATGTCGTCAAGGCGACTTTTGAACTGCTCGGGTACCCTGGTAGCGGAAAGTATCCACCTCTCTATTCACATAAACTGGCACACATTGAATCATAGAGACCAATTTGTCGATACACTTATCTGAATGTTTTAAAGGGCAACACTGTGTGAGGGTAGCATCTCGTATATGTACATAATTTATCAACTGTGGTATCAACAACCATGCGTTCTCATGGGTCAAGTCGTTTTGAAAAGCGTTCACCTTTTAGATGTTCCAGAGTTTGATATCACGACAGCTGCGAATTATGATGTGCAACGAACATATGTATGGTATATCTGCGATCTTAAAACATTTAAGACTGGCTTTCTGGGCCGTAGCTAAAAACTCCAGTACCATACTATAAAAATTCGATACAAAGCGTGGCAACATACATGGTAGACGGTTGTGTATATCAAAAAATTTCTCATGTCAGAAGAAGAGAACTGCGCAATCGTATCATGCCGCCGACTAGCCAATTGTGAGCTTGGTTCCATGTCTTTCAAGTGTTACAATGATTCCTGATCGCATAGTACATCAAAGTGTGTACCACACAAGTAGGTCTGAAAATAAGAGAGTGCTGTTATGAAGCTATTGTCGTACGGTAGTTAATTTGCGACAAGTCCATAGCTCTGTTAAAAAAAAAAACTGCACTTATCTCGGTCTCGCATCAACCATTTGATTCAGAGTACCTCCAAGTTCCATATTGGATGCGTTTGCTACTACCATGAACGGTATTCCGTTTCTTGGTGGATAAACTATCCATTGTTCCGCTGTTTTAAGCT